AAGCTAGCGACTTAAAATTGTTTCCTAGGTCCGTGTATACCACGCGCACTTTATCTTTAGATACTGTACTTTACATTTGTATACTTTATACACCAATAAGTTTGTAAAAGGCGTATTTCAAATACTAGAGACTTGTGGCTTGGCAAATACATGCACATCCATTTTATAATCATAATCTGAAGGTTTCCTGAAAAAAGTACATTCTCAAGAAAAGTTATTAAATAGTTAAGTTCCCATAGCCACCTCTGCAGCCAATGCGTGTTAGGCGTGAGTGCGTATTTCTGTGTGTGTGTATATGTGCGAATAATTATTGAAATATCAGTCGCTCGAAGGATTTAGAGGATCTCGTATTCGAGTCTCGACTAGAGCTTTCATACTCGTTCGCACTTCTTTTGCTCAACGCTCGAGCACGCTACACGGAAAAATAACAAGAAAAGGGATGACAAGTAAGAAGGCTCCAGCCGAAACTGCACGACTAGAAGATACCCTGAAGTACGCGATCTGCTAACTGCGCAGTAAGCAGCGGCTACGCAGCAGTGTGGGCAATATTATGAGAATTTAATTGTTGAATAGTTTACGTTTTTTACAAATTGATGGCGAAGGTGCGTTCCAAAATCTGTAAATTACAAAATTTTACAATTACAAAAATTTTAAGTCTCCGGGTCTAAAAGTGTTAAAAAAAAAAAACGATTTTTCGATTATTCTCGATAAAAAGGTTATCGGACGAGTTATCGAAAAAATAAGATAAACTTGTACTGCCCATGGTATATACGAGTATGCATGTCAAATTTCAGCTCTCTAGCTCTTAGGAGTTCTTCTGAGATCGGCTGGCTCATACGGACGGATAGACGGACAGGGCTATATCGACTCAGCTCGTCGTCCTAATCCTGATCTGCAATTATTCCTTCTGCCTTTGATATACTTTTCACAAAACCATTATACCCTGATTTCCCATTTTCAATGGGTTCAGGGTATACAAAATTGATGTTTTTGGAAAATATACATACTGTTTTAAGTGCTTATTTCGCACACCTTATAAATCTTTGAAATTTTTTTTGAGCTGTGGCTCAGAAAATCAAACTTTAAAACGATTTAAAAAACATTTGTAAGGTTTTTCAAAAATAAATTTTACAGTACTTTGTTGACAGGAGCTTGTTTAGTAGAATTTACCGAAATTTGTGTTCAATTTATAGAAAACTAGGAAAGAACTGTTAACTTTTGCCGTGTGCTAACATTTTTGCTTGCATTTTTGTATATCATAATTATAGCCCATAGTAGTAAATTTTAGGTTATTTAGTGCGGAGGAGACTTTGACTTTACAGACATTGTAATTAAGTACATTTGGATAGTTTTTAAGAGATGCCGCTTGGAAAACAATTATCTGATTATGAAAAGGGCCGTATTTTCCAACTTTTTCAGTCAGGAGAGTCTATTTCGAGTATTTCATGAATTTTGAAAATAAATCGACGTGTAATTAATATTTTTTTGGACAATCCCGAAGAATATGGATCAAGAAAACGAATTGGGCCGTTACTAAGTGCGCGCGATAGACGCAAAATTATTACCAAAACCACAAATAGCTCAGCCGCTTGTACAGTTTTGACCTCACAGGTGGGCGGATCTGTGTCAGCGATGACTGTTTGGCGAGTACTTAAAAATTCAGGAATCATAAATAGGTCTAAACTGACCAAAGTACCCATGTTGCTAAGTCGCCACAGGTTGCTCGACATATTGCGACTGATTGGACATATGCGCGTTTGAATCATCCTCTTTTGGCTTACAGTATACAGGTATCCCTCGTATAACGCGATAGTTACGTTTCAGAAGAATTGCGCGTTATATAATTCCGCGTTTTCTAAAACATAGTTTTCATATAAATTTGGGGGCTATGTTCCAATAGGTTTTTTTTTTTTTTAAATAAAATACATACAAAATAACAGATGCACATTATTTCAACTCAATACTAAAGTTCAGACTTTCTTATACAATTAAAAACACAAGATATGAATAATAATACATATGTAAATACGTGTTTCAAAATTCAAAAAACATAATTTAAATAATTATGGGCACAATAACAAATTTAAATTTAAAAACAAAGCAAAACAAATTAAAGGTTTATTATTGTTATTCTTCAAACACCATATGGTAACAATTCTGTTTCCCTGTCTTCAAAAATCTTTGCTCCTTATAATTATGTATTTTCCCCTTCGCGTTATATAAGCCTAAATTTCGCGTTGTACTGAAACCTAATTTTTCCAAATCGCGTTGTATCGAAACCGTGTTGTATAAGACTGCGTTATACAAGGGATACCTGTATTTATAAATTTTTACCCTAACAGGCCTAATTTTTGCGTGAAAAAACAATGGTACAAAGGAGTATTTGGAGGAATGTCATGTTGATGTCCTTGACAGGCCAGCATGTTACCGTTATTAAATCGGTAATTTTAAGTGAAAAAGTTGTTTTCATTCATAATTGAAATATTAAACTACTCATTTTTTAAGGTTTTAAAGAAAATATGTCATTTGGGAAAATTTTTCAACCGATTCGCTTAAGTGGATTATAAACATGATAAGCACTGTAGTTCTTCAACTAATATGATCTCAGTCGCTCAGACGCAAACGTTTCATTTTTTCGGCTTTTCTGTTTTCGATATTCAAAGACTTTTTTTTAGCGCAGTGCATCGATCCGTCATTTGTGTATTCGTTGGTATGTTTGCAGGACTTGTGCAAGACTACCAATTGGATATCTGTTGACGTATCTTCAGCGATACTCAACGTCGATGTCGAAGATGTGGCAGTAATTTCATTCTCATAACCATCTTCTATGTTCTCTGAATCCTTTGTAGGATTTGAGGGAGTCCAGATCCTTGATTTTTGTCTTCACCTATGTTTGTTTTTATTGTTATTATTTGAACTTTATTTTCTTGTTCTGTAGATTCAGTTAGATTTCCTACCATGTGGGGGTTTGCCTGGGGGTTGAAGTCCCCCCATCCAAAGCAGCCTTATATACTGTCATCTCATCAGCGGTGATCTTGTCACTGTTATCGGCGGTATTCATAAAGTGTGTAAATGTGACCCTTATCTTTTCCCATCGCAGTAACCGCTATTTGCTATTTGTATAAAAATTATTATTTAAACAAGTAAGAAGACTCTAGTCGAGACTGCTCGACTAGGAGATACCCTGAACCCTCTAATTTGATATACTAATCACTCTGCACTTCCTTTCGGCATACATACATACACACGCACGTATTAGAACGCGCTCTGCTAACTCCGCAGTAAGCAGCGACTGCGCTTGGGCTGCATAATTTAATTTCTAGACGTACAATCTTAATGAAACTTTCAGAGCGTAATCATATGGTACATTCCAAAGCACACGTCTCTAGTACTTGAAATATGCCTTTTACAAAGGTGAGGGTGAGGGGATGGATATAGGGGTGGGGGTAAATTACACAAAAATCGAAATTATATAAAATACATATAAGTGTATATTTAAAATTTGCAAGCTCTAGCTCTAAAGGTGTAGGAGATATAATTAAATAACTAGCTTTCGACAAGGTTTTTGATCGATAATAAAATATCGGGAGTAGTTATCGATATATAAAGGACCTAGGAAAAAAATTTCAAGTCTCTAGCTCTTATATCTTCTGAGATCGACGCATTCATACATACGGACGGACAGACAGACGGACAGGGCCAAATCGACTCAGCTCGTCTCCCTGATCAAGAATATATATACTTTGTGGGGTCTGCCACGCCTCCTTCTGCCTGTTACATACTTTATATCAAAACCATTATACCCTGATTTCCCATTTTCAATGGGTTCAGGGTATAAAAAATTCTATTTCGGTATCATGAGAATTTGATATGAAGGAGTCTTAAAATATGGAATTTTTACTCGCATTTACTACCAAGATTAAGAATTTGTGGCAAATCTTAAAAGTATATACCTTGTGAACGAATACACTTGACTTTGATACTCATACGTAATTTCAACCCTTAAATCTAGTGCGTCTGTTGCTGAGTGTGTAAGGTTTTGGTCTATTACATATTCTTATCTTATCGCTGTATTTGTAAGACTCCGCGTTGGTCTATTAGTTATTCTCATCATATCGCTGAGGTTGTAGGGGTCAGAGTTCGTCTCTTACACCTTTCAATATTTCAATGGGAAATCAGGGTATAATGGTTTTGTTGAAATGTATGTAACAGGCAGAAGGAGGCGTGGCAGACCCCACAAAGTATATATATTTTTGATCAGGGCGACGAGCTGAGTTGATTTGGCTCTGTCCGCCTGTCTGTCCGTCCGTCTGTCCGTCTGTCCGTCCGTCCGTCTGTCCGTATGTATGAACGCGTCGATTCCAGAAGATATAAGAGCTAGAGACTTCAAATTTTTTTTTAAATGTTCGTAATTACAGCGCGCATATCAAGTTTATCATTAAAAATCGATAACTCATCCTGATCTTTTTTTATCGATAAAAAACCTTATCGAAAACCAGTTATAAAATTATATCTTCTACACCTTTATTGCTAGAGTCTTCAAATTTTTAATGTATGCTTATATGCAATTTATACAATTTCGGTTTTTGTTAAAATTTACCCTTAAATTCACCCCCTCACCCTCACTTTTGTAAAAAGCGTATTTCAAATACTAGAGACTTGTGCTTTGGCAATTACATGCATATCCATGTTATAATCATAATCTGAAAGTTTCATGATCGTACGTCCACAAAAAAAGTTATTAAGCAATTAAATTCTCATAGTAAGCGCTCACTGCCGCCCATGCGTGTTTATGCTTGTGTGTGTATGTGTATGTAAATGTTTGTGTATGTAAATGTTTCGCGTCTGAAAGACGCGAAAAATTATTGAAATAGCTATTACTCCAAGGGTTCAGGGGATCTCGTAGTCGAGTAGTCTCGACTAGAGCTTTCTTACTTGTTTTATCTGCTATACTTTAATTTATAAATGTAACTATTTGCAATTTCAATATTTTTTTAAAGTGTTTTCTAAGGACCCAAGGAACAAGGCGTCGACAATGGACCCCGAGCTGTGAAGAGATATTATGTACGACAAATCGAAGGCCATGCTATTCAAAAGTCTTTTTTATGGATGGACAATATTATTCGTTTGAGTTTCATCCCAGCTCAACGGCCGGTGACGTTATTCAAATAATTAAAAAAACAATCGGCCTACAGGAAAATTCTTTAGGATATGCATTGTATGAAATGTTGGGGAATACTGAAAGAAGTTTATCAAATGAAGAGAAGGTTTGTGATGTAATGGCAAAATGGGAGCGGTATCGCAGTGTATCCAAAAAGGATTATCATCCATCGGTGAGTGATTTTAATTTGCTACCATTAAATTATACATCTTACATCTTTAAACTTAGAAACTCAAAATTTTGCCTATAGATCCATGCTAACTATTTTATAGATATGCAAAAATATTAAAAACAAATAATTGGAACAATCAGATTAAGCTGTATATTCCAAGCGCAATTGCTGCCAACTGAGTACTCAACTTGTAAAATTTGTTTGTAATTTGTAATTTGTAAAATAGTAAAGCATATCAAATAAGCTCGCTAGTTTGAAACTGATAAGCATGTCTCTTTTGCCTGAATGATTTCTCTATAAATAATTAGCTGTTGCTATTTTATTTTTAGCCTCACCATCAAAATATATCAAGATATATGGTAAACTAAAAACCCATAGCCATAGTCACTGCTTATCATTAAATTATTTGTAATTTTTTTCTAAACTCTGTTCCACAGATCAACAGTTCTATGCAACCCCAACAACATCAGGCATTTTTATTTAAGAAGCATTTGTTTTGTGATGCTTATATCAATCTGGATGACGCAATAGAAAAAGAATTACTTTATCATCAAATATTACATTCTCTAAGAAGTGAACGATATCCTATAACCGAAATGGAAGCTATAATGCTTACTGCCCTTCAAGCGCAATTGGAACTTGGAGATTATTCTGACAATGTCAATGACTACGGATCTGTTGCCAGTCATTGTTTACCACCACGGTTCGTACCAAATATTCCTCATGGAGCCGTTGCGATGCATCACCAAAGTTTAAAAGGAATGTTGCCGGTAGAAGCGAAAAAAGCATTCTTGAACTTAATACAAAGTTGGCCGCTTCATCGTGCAACAATTTTTGACGTAATGGTAAGTAATTATTAAAAATGTGTTGTCTCATTGATAACATTGATATGCCCACAGCATAGGCGCCAGTTTTGCATATATATAATTCCAGTTCTGCAGGTTGTATTTATATAAAAGAGATTAGACACGCATTGTGTTTCATTATTCTGACTGGTGGTGAATCGCTCTCTCCATAAGATAGTCATTTAAGATTAATAAATAAATAGAGATTGTAGTACATGTTGTTATTCAACAATAAAAAAATGTATGTTAGCCCAGGAAGTTAATGTGTTAATATATGTATATTTTGTATGATCAGACTTACACAAAATTATCTAAATTACTTAACCGTACTAAATGTAATTAAAATCGAAATAATATATATTGCAGCAATCTTTTACTTCTAATTGGCCGAGGATGTTGTGGTTAGCAGTTGATCAAAATGGTATCCATTTACTAGAGCACAGATCACGAAATATTTTATGCTCACATGAATATGAATCTTTGATATCATTTTCGCCTAATATGAATTCACTGATGATTTTTACTGGAACGGAAAAGAAGCAATCTAAAGTTATTTTAAGTACATCTCAGGTAATGATATAATATACGTTTATAAAATAAGTTTCGAAATTTCCTAATGATTAAGTAAAATCAAAATCTACACATAACGAAAATTTCGCATTATAAGCTAGTTTCAGTCGACTGTGAGTTCGTGCCAACAAATGTAATTGTTGAAGCCCCTGAGATAATAATTTGTCACTTGGGATCTAGATTTAAACGTAATGTATATTTGACACTTCAATTAGAGTACAATTTATGGCGACTCGCCTCTGCAAGACACACCTGCCACAGGATGAACGAGAGCAAGCTCAGCGTACTCCGGCTGGGAGAGTGTTGTGCTAAAGCACGCTAGGCTGGCTTGAGCGTTTCAGAGAGCGCCAGGATTTGGTTCTATAAGCTCCGGCAGTTCGCTGGGATATACAGGCCAATCCTACTATGCGACTCGCTCACAGCTAATCTAGCTTTGTTTCACTCACAATGCACATCTTACACGCACGGCTACGTGAGCTGACACGCTCCTGTCTGTGCAGACCTCGCTAAAGCTGCTGGCGTTGTCTTCGTTTTTACCAATGTCTCTTATCCTTTTATAGTAGTTGCAAGGATCCCCTTTGGATGTCTTTTCTGTTCCCACGATGTCCTGGAAGTCCTTCGATGTCCTTATTTTCCACTAGCGTTGACTTTCGGTACATTGCACTTTCTTTGGGAGTTTGTTCGGCTCTCCATTTATCTCTCTTTACTCATCTGACTATCACTCTCACTTTAATTTCTCTCTGGCCTAGCCACAGGCCCCGTGGCTTGTTCGGCTTCCAGAAAACGGTAAAGTGGGGGTGACGCCACTTTCCCGCCAAATTACGTGACAGCCTCCCATTGGCCGATGTACCGTTGTTGCCCTGCGAGTGAAAGTGTCCACTACTATAACCTGGGCCCGAACGGCATATTGGCTAACGGTCGCGGCTAATTATCGTCGTGCGTGCGACACGAACCCATTGCAGAATCTGTTGAAGCGAAAGATTCCGTTCGCGCTGATCGCTGATCGCTGAACGCCATGCAAAACTCATATGTTGTGTTTGCAGCCCATGGTGGAATTGACGCATGTGCGCGGGGCAGTTGGCATTTATGTCATTTGCCACTCGTTGTCACTCGCCGTTGTAGACGTTTTTTTGCTGGTTCCGGCTGTTTTTCTGACTATTGAGGGTGTTCCGGTGGGGTCTGCAGTCGTTTCTGGTACTGCTGCTAGGAATTCGTGCCACAGACGTCGTCGCTTCCGACGCCTAAATCTCACAGCTGGTGACATCAGTCGTGTGGCAGGCGTCTGCAACCACACTCTGTTGGAATGCTGCAGGAAAATTTTCGGGTTGGTGTTGGGAACTGGTAAAATCGATGTCTTTCGCAACTGCCACCGGTGCCGAGACTTTTAACTTATAATTGGTCCTGTTTGTCCTCTTCCAGCGTATTCTAGCCTGCCTTATTGCTGGGTTCTAGGCCGGGTACGGTATCTCCCTGATACCGTTTTTCGTACGCTCATTTGCGCACGCATACACAGCCCTGCTGTGGCCAAACATTTCTTTGCAAGCTCTTCTACTGCGCTTCATTGTTGTTGGCCGTTTTATGTATCTCTACTTGTTTTGTTGTTGACTGTTTTATGTATCGCTCTAATTGAAACCTTCATGCCGCTTCGTGCTAGCGCACGATCGCTGAGCACCCAACGTAGGCCCTTGACCCTTGCCTACGACTGCTTGCTCTCGCTTCGTTATGTGTGCGTGTGTGGCAATTCTATGTCTGGAATAGTTATACTCATTCACGAAAGTGAAATAAGTGCAATGTCCGTCTTGCTGTCCGTCCGTCTGTCCGTATGAAAGCAGTCTATTTCGGCGCTATTGAAGCTAGAGACTTGAAATTTGGAACACATACTCGTGTATATCTCCGATTTATAAAGTGTTAAAATTTTCCCGATCCGCCTACTAGGGGCGTGGCAAATCGGAAAATGCATTTTCCGATATACCAGAAATCATGTTTGTTAAAGAATCAGAAAGCTTAAATTTGGTATGTAGGTCCGGGTCGACCACCCAAGATCACGAGCTATGGCGGATATATCTCCACCCATTGGGGCGTGGCAAATCGGATAAAACTGCATCTCCAAGAGTTTTACAGCTAGAGCGCTGAAATTTTGCACGTCAGCTAATGTTATGATTCTTTAAAGTCTAAAGACAAAACAAGTAAGAAAGCTCTAGTCGAGACTGCTCGACTAGGAGATACCCTGAACCCTCCAAGCTGATATTGTAATCATTCTACACTTCTATGCACACATACATACACATGCATCCAGACGCACGTATAACTACGCGCTCTGCTGACGGCGCAGTAAGCAGCGACTACGCTCGGCTGCGCTGCAATGTGGGCAATATTATACGAATATATTTGTTGAATAATTTAATTTGTAGACGTATTCTTAATGAAAATTTCAGAACGTAAGTCCCTAGTATTTGAAATGCGTTTTTTACAAATTGGGGGCGAAGGGGGCGTGGTATCCAAAATCTGTAAATTACAAAATCTTTGTATCCATTAACTTTGTATACTACGCAAATTTGAAGTCTCCAGGTCTAATAGTATTCTAATGAGGCTGAACAAACAAAATCAATTTTTCGATTATTCTCGATAAAAATTTATCGGATGATTTATAGAAAAAAATAAAGCAAACTCGTACTGCGTATGATACACAAGAGTATGCATGCCAAATTTCAGCTCTCTAGCTCTTGTAACTTCTGAGATCGACGCATACAGACGGACGGACAGACGGACAGGGCTATATCGACTCAGCTCGTCGCGCTGATCAAGAATATATATATTATGTGGGGTCTGCCACGCCTCCTTCTGCCCGTTACATACTTTTTCACAAAACCATTATACCCTGATTTTCCATTTTTAATGGGTTCAGGGTATAATTAAAAGTCTACGCCCATTAGGGGCGTTTCAAATCGGACCTGAAGATATAGTGATTTTTCGAATTCGGCTATATTTTGGACACTATTGATGCTAGAGACCTTAAATTTGGTATATATATGCGGGTTGATCACCCAAGTCCAACGAAGCTAGAGACTTGAAATTTGGAACACATACTCGTGTATATCTCCGATTTATAAAGTGTTAAAATTTTCCCGATCCGCCCACTAGGGGAGTGGCAAATCGGAAAATGCATTTTACGATATACCAGAAATCATGTTTGTTGAAGAGCTAGAAAGCTGAAATTTGGTATGTAGGTCCGCGTTGACCACCCAAGATCACGAGCTATGGCGGATATATCTATGCCCATTGGGGGCGTGGCAAATCGGATAAAACTGTATCTCCTAAAGTTGTAAACCTAGAATGCTGAAATTTTGCAATTCAGCTAATGGTATGATTCTATAAAGTCTGAAGATAAATTATAAGTCTACGCCCATTAGGGGCGTGGCAAATCGGACCTGAAGATATAGTGATTTTTTAAGAGTATGCATGCCAAATTTCGGCTCTCTAGCTCTTGTAACTTCTGAGATCGACGCATACAGACGGACGGACAGACGGACAGGGCTATATCGACTCAGCTCGTCGCGCTGATCAAGAATATATATACTATGTGGGGTCTGCCACGCCTCCTTCTGCCCGTTACATACTTTTTCACAAAACCATTATACCCTGATTTTCCATTTTTAATGGGTTCAGGGTATAATTAAAAGTCTACGCCCATTAGGGGCGTGGCAAATCGGACCTGAAGATATAGTGATTTTTCGAATTCGGCTATATTTTGGACACTATTGATGCTAGAGACCTTAAATTTGGTATATATATGCGGGTTGATCACCCAAGTCCAACGAGCTATGGTAGATATATATCCGACCATAGGGGGCGTGGCTAACCGCAAATGTTTATATCTCCTACAGTTTAAGAGCTAGAAGTTAGCGGAAGCTTCAAATTTAAGTTACTGGTGGCCTCCTCTATCGATGCCCCAAAAATAATTTTTAAGCCTTTTTAGGGGCGTGGCATATCGAAAAATACCCTGTAATTTTCACCTTTTTTGAGTGTAAGAATTCAAATTTTGCATTTAGGTTACCGGTTGCTCGTTCTAAGAACTGGCCAAAAATGAGGAGTCCACGGCCACTAGGGGCGTGGCAGTCGGCATTTATAGTGCCCATATTGCGGCATTTATATGCGTCAGCCATAAATAGGCTTAATAGGCATTGATAGCGCGGAAGGAAACATTTTTATAAAATTAATAAAATATAAAAAAGCTAAAATAACAAAAATTTGCAATTTACAAAAAAGTGTTTTCGCGGGATTTGAACTCGCACCCAAGCCGAATAGTATGTTTGTCCACTAGGGGCGTAGCAATTGGCATTTATAGTGTCCGAATCGCGGACATCTATATATGTACTTGTACATATAATTAAGCTTAATAGATATTCACAATACGGAAAGGAAAATTTTTATGAAATTTAAAAAATATAAAAGAATCTAAATAACTAAAATTTTCAATTTTCAAAAAAGTGTTTTCCGCGGGATTTGAGCTCGCACTCAAGCCGAATAGCATGTTCATGTCAAAATATCTAAAATGAAGATCGCCGGCGCTTCTGCCTATAGCGCCACTGCATCGTTTCGAATAAAAGTAGTTAAAACGAAATCACATTATTGTTATGACGCCATATAACAATGCAAAGGCAAATCAATCGCAACGAGATTCTTAGAATATGCAAGAGTGCCCATTTATGTGTACATACATACACACATACAAGTGAGTGCGTGTATAAGGCTGGAATGCTTGATGCTATGCGTGCAGACTTACATATATATGTACATATGTATGTATGTATGTATTTGCGTATATGAATTTGAGGCCTATTTAAGAAGAAACAAATTTAAACTTATAAAATTATTTGACTAAGAAAAAGAAAAGTATTAAGTGCCATTCATTCAAGCTCGCACCTACCCAATAAAATATCTATCTTATAAAAAACGAAATATGTATGAAAAAAAAAAAAATAATAATAATAATAATAACATCGAAGAGGTTTCTAACCTCCTCTACTCTAACATAATTTGCGTCACCCTTAGCACCCGCGCCACTGCTTTGCTTGATCAGCCAGTTGCTAAAATAGAATAGCTTAATCAGAGTGGCGCTCTCTCTCAAACAAAACTACAGTAACGGCTAGAAAGTCCAGAAATCAATCGAAATTCTAAGAATGTGAGAAGAGGCACGCTTCTGTATATATATTCTTGATCAGGGTGATGAGTTGAGTCGATTTGGCCCTGTCTATCTGTCTGTCCGTCCATCTGTCCGTCTGATCGTATGTATGAACGCGTCGATTTCAGAAGATATAAGAGCTAGAGACTTCAAATTTTTTTAAATGTCCGTAATTACAGAGCGCATATCAAGTTTATCATTAAAAATCGATAAATCATCCCGATCTTTTTTTATCGATAAAAAACCTGATCGAAAACCAGTTATAAAATTATATCTCTAACACCTTTATTGCTAGAATCTCCAAATTTTTTAAATGAATGCTTATATGCAATTTATGCTATTTCGTTTTTTGTTAAAATTTACCCCCCGTATTTCAAAAACTAGAAACTTGTGCTTTGGCAAATACATGCATATTAATGTTATAACTATAATCTGAAAGTTTCATGAAAAAAGTACATCCACAAGTTATTGAATAATTAAGTTCCCATAGTAAGCCCACACTGCAGCCAATGCGTGTTTATGCGTGCGTACGTATGTCTGCGTGTGTGCGTGTATGTGTGCGTTGAAATAATTATTGAAATATCAGTTGCTCGAAGGGTTCAGGGGATCTCGTAGGCGAGCAGTCTCGACTAGAGCTTTCTTACTTGTTTTATAAATTTATATATTATTAACATAATTTATTTTTATTTTTCAGGCTTTCCAGATAGCAACGCTTATAAATGAATACTCTGAAATAGTGAAAAGGCGATGAATTCCCATTTAAATCAATAAATTGTCACACCAACGTGTTCCATATATTAAGACGATCAGTTAAAATTGGACCTTATAGCTAATTATTAATAAAAATTGTATTATTTAATAAAGAAATTACATTTTTTAATGAATATAATATATACAGCTAATATTAATAAAAAACTGTATTATTTAATAAAGAAATAACATGTTTGTAATGAATATAATATATTCAAATGCATTTTCTGATATGCCAGAAATCATATTAATTAAAGAGCTAGAAATATGAAATTTTTATACCCTGAACCCATTTTCAATGGGAAATCAGGGTATAATGGTTTTGTTGAAATGTATGTAACAGGCAGAAGGAGGCGTGGCAGACCCCATAAAGTATATATATTCTTGATCAGGGTGCTGAGCTGAGTTGATATGGCCCTGTCCATCTGTCTGTCCGTCTGTCTGTCTGTCCGTCCGTCCGTCTGTCAGTATGTTTGAACGCGTCGATTTCCGAAGATATAAGAGCTAGAGACTTCAATTTTTTTTTTAAATGACCGTATATACAGCGCGGTTGACAATTTTGCCTTTAAAATTCGATCAATCATCCCGTTATGTTTTTATACTCATTCACGAAAGTGAATCAGTATATTGGTTTTGTGCAATGTCCGTCTTGCTGTCCGTCCGTCTGTCCGTCCGTCCGTCTGTCCGTCTGTCCGTATGAACGCAATCTATTTCGGCGCTATTGAAGCTAGAGACTTGAAATTTGAAACATATACTCGTGTATATCTCCGATTTATAAAGTGTTAAAATTTTCCAGATCCGCCCACTAGGGGCGTGGCAAATCGGAAAATGCATTTTCCGATATGCCAGAAAGGATATTAATTGAAAAGCTAGAAAGCTGAAATTTGGAATATAGATCCGCATCGACCGCCCAAGATCACGAGCTATGGCGGATATATATCCGCCCATTGGGGGCGTGGCAAACCGGATAAAACTGTATCTCCAAGAGTTTTACAGCTAGAGCGCTGGAATTTTGCACGGCAGCTAATGTTATGATTCTATATAGTCAAAGTACAAATTATAAGTCTACGCCCATTAGGGGCGTGGCAAATCGGACCTGAAGATATAGTGATTTTTTTAATTCTGCTATATTTTGGACACTATTGATGCCAGAGACCTCAAATTTTATACATATACTCGGCTGATCACCCAAGACCAAAAACCTGTGTCGGATATATGTCCGCCCACAGGGGGCGTGGCAAACCGTAAAAAGTTTATATCTCCGAAAGTATAATAGCTAGAAGCTTCAAATTTAGATAGTTAAGTTACGAGTAACCTCCTCTATCGATGACCTGAAAATAATTTTTACGCCTTTTTAGGGGCGTGGCATATCGAAAAATACCCTGTAATTTTCACCTTTTTTGAGGGTAAGCATTCAAAATTTGCAGTTAAGGTACCGTTATCTCGTTCTAAGAACTGACAAAAAATGAGGTGTCTACGCCCAATAGAGCAAATCGGGAAAAACCGCACTTTCTACAGTATTAGAGCGAAACTTAGCAACTAAACTGCTAATGGGATGTGAATGAGTATTCCGCAGTCGGTTACGCTCGACTGCAACGTTCTTACTTGTTATTGAGTAAAAACCTTCAAGTTCAAGTCAGATGCCACTATGGCTAATGATTTTTAATTTTTTTTTAAATTTCTCAAATATTTAATGTAATATGTAGATCATATGCTGAAAGTTTAATTAAATTCCGTTCAGTCAAAAATTAATAAAAAATAATCAAATATTTGGCCATTAACAAACGCACGTGCAGCAGCTACAAAAGTATCGTGTACGTGTGCACACATTCATTCAAACTTCTGGAACATTCTTTGAATCACATCAGCTGTTAGTTTGGTTTAGTTTTGGTAGATGGCGCTGCATCAGTGAATCTATTTAAGTTTTGCCAGTCCAGCTTGCCGAAATAAGGTGGCGTAGCGTGTTAGCTGCATGACGCTCGATTGAGAAGTCACGGGTTCGAGTCCCGAGCGGTGCGAGTTATATTAACTTTTTCAATTGTTTCAAAATATTTTTATGTTTTATCAAATGGGTTTTGTACTTCATTTATATATTTAAATACATCGAAATTGAAATTTTAGCCATACTAAATGGGCGTAGCGTGTTAGCTGCATGACGCTCGATTGAGAAGTCGCGGGTTCGAGTCCCGAGCGGTGCGAGTTGTATTAACTTTTTCAATTGTTTCAAAATATTTTTACGTTTTATTAAATGAGTTTTGTACTTCATTTATATATTTAAATACATTGAAATTGAAATTTTAGCCATACTAAATGGGCATTTTTATACCCATTTTCAATGGGAAATCAGGGTGTAATGGTTTTGTTGAAATGTATGTAACAGGCAGAAGGAGGCGTGGCAGACCCCATTAAGTATATATATTCTTGATCAGGGCGACGAGCTGAGTCGATTTGGCCCTGTCCGTATGTCTGTCCGTCCGTCTGTCTGTCTGTCCGTCTGTCCGTATGTATGAACGCGTCGATTTCAGAAGATATAAGAGCTAGAGACTTGAATTTTTAAATGACCGTATATACAGCGCGGACGTCGAGTTTGCTTTTAAAATTCGATAAATCATCCCGTTATGTTTTTATCGAGTAAAAACATTCAATTTCAAATCAGCTGCCACTATAGGTAATTGTGAATGATTTTTCTTTTTTTTTAAATTTCTCAAATATTCAATATAATATGTAGATCATATGCTGAAAGTTTCATTAAATTCCGTTCAGTCAAAAATTAATAAAAAATAATCAAATATTTGGCCAATTAACAAACGCAGGTGCAGCAGCTACAACAGCATCGTATGCGTGTGCACACATACATTAAAACTTCTTCTAGACATTCTTTGAATCACATCAGCTGTTAGTTAGTTGAGTTTTGGTAGATGGCGCTACAGCAGTGAAGGCCAGCGCCACTAGCAGGAGTGGGGTGGCCTAGTGTGTTAGCTGCATGACGCTCGATCGAGAAGTCGCGGTTCGAATCCCGATCGATGCAACTGATGTTAATTTTTTTTAATTGTTTCAAAATATTTTTATATTTTCATAAATGAGTTTTCTATTTAATTTATATTTTTAGATACACCGAAATTGAAATTTTAACCATACTTTATGTGCGTTTTTAATAGTTTGGTTATTCTAGCAGATTCTTAGAATCACATCAGCAGTTAGTTTCGATTAGTTTTGATAGATGGCGCTGCAGCAGTGAATCTTTTTTAGTTTTGCCAGCGCCACCAGCAGGAATGAGGTGGCGTAGTGTGTTAGCTGCATGACGCTCGATCGAGAAGTTGTAGTTCGAATCACAATGACCGTATATACAGCGCGGACGTCGAGTTTGCTTACATTCGTTGAATCACATCAGCTGTTAGTTTCGTTTAGTTTTGGTAGATGGCGCAGCAGCAGTGAATCTATTTGAGTTTTGCCAGCGCCACTAGTAGGAGTGGGGTGGCCTAGTGTGTTAGCTGCATGATGATCGATCGAGCAGCCGCGGTTCGAATCCCGATCGGTGCAACTGATGTTAACTTTTTTAATTGTTTCAAAATATTTGTATATTTTATTAAATGAGTTTGGTATTTTATTTATATTTTTAAATACATCGAAATTGAAATTTCAGCCATACTAAATGGGCATTTTTATTTGTTGGGTTCAGGGTAGTATCTAGTCGAGCACTCTCGACTAGAGTTTTCTTACTTGTTTTTAAATGACCGTATATACAGCGCAGACGTCGAGTTTGCTTTTAAAATTCGATAAATCATCCCGTTATGTTTTTACCGAGTAAAAACATTCAAGTTCAAATCAGTTGCCACTAATTGTAATTGTGAATGATTTTTCTTTTTTTTTTTAAATTTCTCAAATATTCAATATAATATGTAGATCATATGCTGAAAGCTCCATTAAATTCCGTTCAGTCAAAAATTAAAATGTATGTACATTCCAAAGCACATGTCTCTAGTACTTGAAATACGCCTTTTACAAAGGTGATGGTGAGGGGGTGAATTTAAGGGTGGGGGGTAAATAACAATAAAAATCGAAACAAGTAAGAAGACTCTAGTCGAGACTGCTCGACTAGGAGATACCCTGAACCCTCTAATCTGATATTCTAATCAGTCTGCACTTCTTTTCGAGAAACATACATACACACACACGTATTAGAACGCGCTCTGCTAACTGCGCAGTAAGCAGCGACTGCGCTTGGGCTGCGCTGCAGTGTGGGCAACATTATAAGGATTTATTTGTTGAATATTTTAATTTCTAGACGTACAATCTTAATGAAACTTTCAGAACATAATCATAATATTCAAATATATGTACATTCCAAAGCACAAGTTTCTAGTACTTGAAATACGCCTTTTACAAAGGTGAAGGTGAGGGGGTGGATATAGGGGTGGGGGTAAATTACCACAAAAATCGAAATTATATAAAATACATATAAACCTACATTTAAAATTTGCAAGCTCTAGCTCTAAAGGTGTAGGAGATATAATTAAATAACTAGCTTTCGATAAGGATTTTGATCGATAATAAAATATCGGGAGTAGTTATCGATATATAAAGAACAACTTGATATGCGCGTGATATACACGGACCTAGGAAAAAAATTCAAGAATTCAAGTCTCTAGCTCTTATATCTTCTGAAATCGACGCGTTCATACATACGGACGGACAGACGGACGGACAGACGGACGGACAGACGGACGGACAGACGGACGGACAGGACCAAACCGACTTAGCTCGTCGCCCTGATCAAGAATATATATACTTTGTGGGGTCTGCCACGCCTCCTTCTGCCTGTTACATACTTTTAACAAAACCATTATACCCTGATTTTCAATGGGTTCAGGGTATAACAAGTAAGAAAGCTCTAGTCGAGACTACTCGAATACGAGATCCCCTGAACCCTTGGAGTAATAGCTATTACAATAATTTTTCGCGTCTATCAGCTTACACAAGAAACACGCACACACACACACACACACACACACACACACACACGCACGCACACACAGGCATACATACACACACATACATACACACACACATACATACACAGGTTCGAGTTGCGTTTTCACGGAGTGCGGTCGATGTCA